TTTGGAGGATCAGTCCTGGAGTACCAGTGATTTGATAGCAATAAAATCAAAGTATCTATAGGGTCCAAAATACTATTCTGGTGAGCCCATGAAATCAGAATAAATTACACATTTTGTTGAAAGACATGAGCGCTGAAATAAATAGTGTTATGTTGGAGATGAACATATAGCATTTTTACATTACCATTAGATTTTATGCCATCAACTTTTCTTTATATGTTAATGTGGTTTTCTGGATTAGTCGTACTTGATGCGATAATCTATTTGCTTCCATACAATGATTTCCTGAGCTGCCCTTACTTTCTTTTTCATTTCTTTTTTTATTAAATACTTTAGTGAAGTGCCTTTTACATTCCTGGTCCAAAAAAAGGTACCTTTTATATATTCATAGAGTCTGACCTAATGTTCTTCTATTTCCTTGTCTTATTTTTGCTTTTGGGGCTTGTAGTCGGATCTGGAACGAGACTTGGTTGGCAAGCTTCTTCTACAAACCATGTAATTACGAGTTGTTTGTGAAGCAGTCCCTTAACATGGAAATGTCTATTGTCATGGCAAGGGTATGTTATTACATTTTCTTATCTGGGATAATACATATGTATGCATAAATTCATGTTGATGTAAGGTATAACTCTTAGTGTTACAAATTTTTTTCTTCATTCATTTATAGGATGCTGGTATGGATTGGATTATTCATCTTGACACTGATGAGCTTATACATCCTGCGGGTGCTAGTGAGTACTCTTTGAGACAATTGCTGTCAGATGTGCCTGGAAATGTTGATATGGTTGTCTTCCCAAATTATGTGAGTAGAGCTGCCTTTATAAATTTAGATCAAGTTTAAATTGTGTTTATTTTGGTGATAAAGAGGTTTAGTTGGTGAAATTGTATTTTTTGTCTTTAATTTGTTCTATCGTTGTTGTTGACACCGAAGGTGATTATACCATATAAATTTTTCAGGAGAGCAGTGTTGAGCGGGATGATATCAAGGAACCTTTTACTGAGGTATAATCTCCTCTATCTGTTTCTGATGCTTTATTTTGGCTAGGTTTATAAGACCAATAGTAGTTTGATGGGAACATTTTTAAGTTTCCTGTCGCTTACACCTGCTGATAACCTAATCTTCTTTGCAACTCCCTGCATGCAGCAGTTTTTGCTGTAGTTGTGATTATGTATGCATTCATTGTTTATGATTCCATCTTCTATCTTGGCATAGGTCTCAATGTTCAAGAAGAACTATGATCATCTTCCCAAGGATGTGTACTTTGGCAATTATAAAGACGCAACCCGTGGTAATCCAAACTACTTTCTGACCTATGGAAATGGGAAATCAGCTGCTCGTATTCAAGATCATCTTCGTCCTAATGGTGCGCATAGATGGCATAACTACATGAAGACACCAAAGTATGATTAGTTTCTTATTCTATTGATTTTGTATGAATGAACTGATGTGGTTTAATGTTATTTGTCATTATGAAGTCTTTACATGTTTTTCTGTATCAGTGTTGTGAAGGTGCTTGCCTAGGTGCTAAGGTGCATTGCAAGCCTAGTAAAGTGCTTGCACTGATGTAGGCAAGGCACCCTTGATCAGGTGCATGCTGCTTGTGTGTGGGCGTGCTTTTGTTAAGGCCAAAAGTGCAAAAAAGGCGCATTTGACATAAGCGTCATTTTGGTTTCTTTAACTTTTAATTTCTTTTATCAGCTTTTGTTTTCATCGACCAAAGAAGATAATATGAGCTCTCTTTACAAGAATAAAGCATTGGATAATAGAGTCCATGCACAACTCTTCGTCGAAGATTGAAGTGAAAAAATGTTGAGCTTCTTCAGTGATGACTTTTAGTTAACTAGTACAATAATTCTTCATCTTTGGAACACGTTAAACAATATAATAAAGCAAACTCTTTATGTTCTATTGAAAATATCATGGATTTCAAGCTTATTAAATACAGTGCAGAGAATTTTCTTTGTTTCATATACTATTAATTATTTTTTAAAATTTGGCACATTATTTGACTTAATCAAGTGCCTTTTTTGCACTTTGCACCTCAGGTGATGTAAGGTTCCTATTGCTTAGAGTGGGCCTTGCACCTTTGACAACTTTGATTTGCACTTTTGTATGATAAGTTATTAATTGCTATTAACGTGGTTGCTCTCTACCTTAATGATGGATTCTTTCATTTCTTCTGTTTCTTTTTTTCTAACCTCTTTTTACAAGGCATATACTTTCTGATTGAAGAGCACAACTTCCTTCCTTTCTAATTTATAGGTATATAACTACCTTGATTTTGTGTAATATTTGATAGTGAGATCAAATTGGATGAGGCTGCTGTTCTGCATTATACATACCCCAAATTTTCTGATCTCACTTCAAGGCGTGATCGATGTGGCTGCAAGCCTACAAAGGAGGATGTTAAAAGATGTTTCATGTTAGAATTTGATAGAGCTGTGAGTTCCAACTGTTGCACCATCACAATCCTTTTATCTATTTCTAACTTTCATTTTAGTTTCTCTTGCCCTTGCTGTTACTCGAAGGGTTTCCCGTTGTTTTCCGTTTGGGTTGTCTATCTAATTTTAGATATGAGTTTGTCATATTTCCTGACTTTTGTAGATAATATGTTGTCTAAGATAAGTGGCATTTCGCCCTTAGGAAAATTGAAATGTGGCTTACCTTTCCTTGGGTGTGAACTTGAGTGTTACGTACAATTGCTTCAAGGCTAGTTGAGCTAGCATATCGCTAGTTTATGTCAGGCTTTACTTGTATTTATTGATCTGGATATATGTTGATCCTGATTGTATTTCTCCAGTAAATTTAGATATTAACACAGACTAAGCAAGGAACAATATTAAAGGTAAAAGTGGAGGCTTCTTTGTAATTAGTAGGTGGGTTTTCCTTGATGTTGGCTTTGGCGATTTTGCAAGTTTAAGCCATAGACATAATGCATGGTGGTGCCTGACCTGTTCTTTGCATTATAATCATGTTAGGTAGTCTGCGTCAGCAAGGTCTTTGTCAAGTGGTACATTCGTTAATTTCGATATGGTTGTACTATAGAAAGTTCCATGTTTGTTAGGGAGGGAGAGAATTGGAAAGTTATTTATGATGATTACGTATTCACTGATGCTTGTAATATTTAGATAAAGGGAGGGAGGCAAGGCAAGTGCTTTCTAGGGTACTCTCGATTGTGATATAATTTAGATGATGCTTTAATATTTGGGCTTAATTTTGCTTACTGTTCTTTCATGTTTTACTTCAACAGGCATTCATAATTGCTTCAACTGCAACGGAGGAGGAAATGCTTCGCTGGTAATGCTTATATTAACAAATTAAATGTCCTTTATTTCATGTATTTCATTGCAAATATAAACCAAACAGAGCTTGTGGTGTTACGTGTTATAAGAGAGGGGTTCTAGCTTTTACCTTGAAAAGTTGCTTTGTGAGGAGCTATTCTGAATGTTATTTTCTTGAAATGGATCTTGGAATGTTATTTTCTTGAAATCCTCTTGTTATCTAAGTTAAGACATTTAATGATGGGCTTAGACTAAAAATGGACTCATACTTTAGTGATTTCTTTTAGGAGCATTTAATACATGAGATTGTCTTCATGTGTCAAATGCCTATGGTTTTTGGGCTTAATATAATTAATTATCACTTTGCAAATTGTTAGACTGTTGGATTGTTTCTGATGATCTATTCCTTACTTTTCCAAGTAGACAAAATACATTTCTCACCAAAAAATTTATTTTGTTTCATGGCTGTATGGGATCGGAGATGATATTTATCTTCCTCAAATAATGTTGTTCTTTTTACTTAGGTACTGTGAGCGTGTGGTGTGGACTGATAAAGCATTGAACTTGAAACTTTTGAGGAAGGGCATCTTAGCTCGGATTTATGCTCCCATGGTGAGTTAAACTACTGGGCATGTTTATATGTAGCCTCTTTGTGGTTTCAGCTGATCATTGCTATGCATTAGTTTGTGGATGACCATGCATGGTTCAAGTGTCAAGATTCCTCAAGTCATTCACTTTTTTTCTCTTCTCACAGGTTATAATTCAAGGACTTAGGGAATCTGGTATTTTCAGTTCTATAGTACAATCGGCACAGACAACTCTCTCAAAGGACAAGTTTTTGACATCCGTTGAGAGTAGCAACTCTTCTAGAGTAGATAAACCTGGAATAATTTCTTCCAGAAAGATTGGTCTGAAAGAATCTCAGGCAACTGCCAGAAGGATCTTGGAGATCACCAACGAATTTTCTTATAATTCGGCAATCCCACCACTTTCTCCTCCAGTACTGGATGATATGCACATGGGAATGTAATGGCATCAAATTCACAGTGATTACTGCTGCCTCATTGTTCCTGCAAAGAGTTGAGAAAATTGAAATAGAAAGTGGGGTAAAATGAGACAACATGGTTTGCCGGCTCCGGCTCCGGCTCCGGCTCCAGCTCTGGCTCTGGTGGGGGCATTTTCCAGTGTTGGCTTTTCGTGGGGCTCTTCCCGATCATTACCCAAGCGCTGCTGTACATTTCTTCAGGTTTAGATTATAGTAGATGATGATAGAGTGAGAGGTGTAGAGCGGGATTCTGACTAATACCGATTGATGATTGTTGCATATTTGATATTGGTTTTGGATGCCTAAGGCTAATGGCTGGAGGCTGTAACATTGAACCAGCTCGTGATATTATTTAGTTGAGAGGGGCATTCATCAACATTTTCCATTCCCCCACTCAAGACTCTGATGATTGATGATGTTTATCAATCAAATTTTAGAATATGGCATTCTTTTGCAGTTACTTGAAACAATCAATTGCATTCTATTCTCCATTCCTTCCACTTTGTATCCATACTTTATCTCAATACATATCACTCAATTATAATTGCATATAAATATATTAACAATTTAAAAAACTTTTCATAAAATAAAAAATTTCCATCTACATTAACAGAACCCAATTACTGAATGGGCAAGAGGAAAACAAATCATTAATTGAAAAATATGTATTAATAAGATCGAATCCCGGTAGTCACACGCGTTAATCACACGTGCTTTCCACTGTGTATAATAATAGGAGCAAATCCTACCGCTTTTCGGCGGTTTAACTGCTAACCCTCGCCCGCCGTCTGTCTCTGACATTGGGTTCTGTAGATGAACCAAGCATCGCAACTTGGCTTTAAGACTTTCATCAATCTTTCAGGGTTTTCTTTTTCTTTCTCCAAAAAAATTCATTTGTTGTTTCTCCTTTTTGTTGTTTGTTCTTATAGAAATTTAAACTGACTGGAAAAGATGTAGCTTTGCAGCAGCTCCAAGGAGTTTGGGAGTTGGAAGATTTTTCCCTTTGAGAGGCAAAGTAATGGGGTCTAAGAGAAGAAGCTTTTCGACTTCATCCTCCATAGCTGACCAAAACATTGATAAGAAACCCAAAGGAGTAATAGGCAACAATAACCCTATTTCTGATAAGACTCTTCTCAAGGTTTCTTCTTTGTTTTTTTTTTATGCTTTTTTCTTAGTTTTCTGTTTGGGTTTAATGAAAATGTTGAGAAAAGTAAATTAGTTAAGCACAATAATGATAAACAGGTTAAAAGGATTAATGGCTACAAATCCTTATGTTTAATATGATATTATATTTGAGTTATAAGGTATTAATTTTATGCTTTTGATATTGATAATTGCTTAAGAATGTAAATGAAAGGTACTTGAAATGCAGGATTTCAAGGATGATCCAGGAAAAATAGAGGCAATGACAGTTCAACAACTCAGAACTGCATTGAGGTAAATAACAAGTTTCAAGGGGTAACATATAAAAGTATATGACTCCTCTGTTTGATGTTCTTGCATTCTGCATTATGGATTGATTTCTGTCATTTATGCAATTTGCATTTAGAAAAGTTTTGTGCGTTAACTCCTACATTTAGTTTGTTGATTGGAAAGAAGATTGTTCCACAAATTGAGCTATGTGATGAAACAGCTCATGTGACCAACACAAATTAGTTGAATTTTTACTTAATCACATTCCCATTCTGTTGTAGACACTTTTCTTCAACTTATGAAGTATGTAATCCTGAATTTCTTTTTTAAACCTGTTGAATGGGATTTTATAGATCCATGAAAAAGGTAAATTGGATATGTCTAATTTAAGATCTGAGTTTGTTTTAACTGTTTTTAATTGACAGGAGTGCTGGTGTCCCTGCCAAAGGTTCAAAACGCGACCTTGTATCTGCTTTACAGTGCTATTTGGCCAAGGAAATAGATGGTATGCAATTTTCTATACAATTTAAGTTTTAATATGTATTTTGGTATCCTGCAAGCCTTCATATGATAGCAATCAAGATTGAGGATAACAACATAAATTTTCTTATAGCGGGTATAATAATTAATTGCATGTGCAAGCTTCCTTTTCTGATCTCCGAAATTCTTTGCATGTGCAGGTGAAGGTTCTTTTTTAGCAGATAAACAAGATCCTTCCAATTATGATGAAAGCATATCTACAAGGGTGGAGGCAGGATCCATAGAGGATCAAGTCCAAGATGTTAGCACTATTTCTAAGGTTTCCAGGGTTCAGCGGAGCAGGAGGACATTAAACCAAATGCAAATTAGGGGTGAAACTGTTGAAGTTGATACTAAAATTGTCACCATAGAACAGAAGCAATCTGTCAAAACTGGTCGTGCTTCAGGTAGTGCAGAAGATATAGATATCTGTAGCATTGGTGTTTTATGCAGTTGTTGCGATTTATGGAACTATTCCATCGTTCTCTGAAGTAGTTCGCTTTAGGTGGTTCATTTAGTTTGACTAAAAGGATGGATTATTGTGTTTGATCCTTGATGTGGCTAGGTAGGAAGCCTTCTCAGACAAAGAGGAGAGTATCTTCAGATGTTGATAGCAAAGATGTTAGTGCTGAATATGGAGTTACCCTTACAGTGAATCAAAGCGAACCATGGACCATTTTTGCCCATAAGAAGCCTCAGAAAGGGTGGATAGCATATAATCCTAGAATTATGAGACCTCCACCTCATACGGGGAATCCAAAGTTTGTCAAGGTTCTGTCTTGGAATGTCAATGGGCTTAGGGCATTGCTGAAATTTGGGGGATTCTCTGCCCTGCAACTTGCTGAAAGGGAAAACTTTGATGTATTGTGTTTGCAGGAGACTAAACTGCAGGCAAGTATATAACATATCATTTTGTAGCTTAGAAAATTTCAATATATTATAAATAGTTTTGTTGAGAAGGTCTCAGTGTAGTATAAAGCTTTTTCTGCTTTAGCTTACCGTGATATCTGCGATAATTGGATCACTAGATATTTTACTGGAGTGCTTGAATCACCTCTTACATCTTTAATTCCTATGTTCAAACATAGTTATAGCAATTGGCAGCAAACTTATAAAGTGGCTGCTAAGACATTTTCCGTCTTGATAGATGTTTCTCCTTGCAGAATGTTGATATACAAGTATGTCAAATATTGGATGTTTTTACGCTAACTTTAGTTGTGGGCATTTTGCTGCCATTTGATTCTATTTGACACCTAGGATTTGTTTTCAATCAAATGTGAGTCAAGTTGCAGTATGGCTCCTAATTGGAATTGGTTAAAAGGTTCAGAAATGAGTAAACTTCTCAATTAAGTGGTTAAGTTTTTTTTTTTTTTTAAATATTTACATAACTCAAACTGGCCAGCTAATACTAGTTTTCTTCTTTGAGTGTCGATGATGGCCAAATTTAGAAATTTGGATTGATTTAGTCATGGCTGCTCTAGCTTAGATAATTGTGAAAACATTTTTTTTCTTTCTGTGCAAAAATTCAGGACATGTTAGAATATGACAATTTGTTGATATTATAAATTGCCAATAACATCTTTTGCCCTTGTGTTTGTATATGTGAGACTATGCTTATTTGACTCTGTATTTGTCTGTCCTTGTGAGAGTGTGTATTTTCTTTACATGTGTCTGTCTGTGTGCACATGTATTTGTTTGTGTGTACTTAAGAAATGTGAGCATCTTGAACTGGTTAATTTTCTTGATATGTTGAATGCACTTATTAATCTTGAAACAGGAGAAAGATGTCGAGTCAATCAAACAGTCTCTCATAGAAGGATATGAGAATAGCTTCTGGACATGCAGTAATTCAAAACTTGGTTATTCTGGTACATCAATAATATCTCGGGTATGCCTGTTCTTTTTAGGATTCAGAAGTGGCTTTTTTTATGTGTGGCCCTTGGATTATTTTGCACCTTTGGGGGTAGAAACTATGCCACACTTTTAATATCCCTATCTTGTTTATACATTAGGACCTTGGGGTGATATATCAAGCAAGTATTCACTGTTTTGATGGCAGTGAGGTTACTTCTTAGAGTAGCATCTGCTGGATTATATGTCTGCTAACTTAATACTCTTATTTGCTAGTTGCTTAATTTTGCAAGATATGCTTTAATGTTGGAAATGATTGTCTCTTGCATTGAAAATTTGAAATATTGTCAATGGAATCGGCAGATTAGAACTTAAAACATCACAATATCAAGTTTCATGTTTCTAGCTACGCTTCAGATTCTAACAATGAAATGGGACTTTAAGACCTGATACAGAAAACTATGGGAAAGGTGAAGACTAATCATACTTGATTAATCCATTGTGCAAATTTTAATCAATGGGATTTATTTCAATCTAATGAACTTACTGGGCACTAGGATTTGGTGTCTGTTTTCTTGATTCAATGTCTACTGTACATTTTTCGGGAGCTTGACCTTTTGAAATTCAAGTATCTTTTGCTGTTTTAATTGCTTTGCTTTTTATTAGTTTGCTGTTAAAAAGTAGCAGTTGTCTGACAGATTAAGCCACTTTCAGTCAGATATGGCCTAGGCAAATCAGATCATGATAGTGAAGGACGAGTTGTGACAGCAGAATTCGATTCTTTTTATTTGTTAAGCGTCTATGTTCCTAATTCTGGGGATGGCTTGAGAAGGCTGGTAATTGGCTTAAACACATTTTGTATGTTACTTGCCAATATATGTTTTTTCCATTTGAAATTTTCAAACTTTTTGACTGATGGCTTTGTTTTTAAATCCAGACATACAGGATTACAGAATGGGATCCAGCTCTTAGCAATTACATAAAAGTAAGCATGCTTATATTTCCCTTTTTCATTTTCATTTCATTTTTGACTTAGTTATTTTTGTTTTCCAATTTGTGCTCTATACCAGAGAGTTTAAGCACCCTCCCTGTCTTGCTTTCTCGTCTCCCCCCTTTTGACTTGTTATTCACGCTTTGGCATATATAATCCTATGAATTCGTGGGAGACATTAGATTTGGGTCTTTAGATTTAGGGAAATTGAGGAACAAGCATTTGAAAAGCTGATAGGTGTATATATTCCTCTGCTCAAAGAGCTGGTTCAAATCCCCCTTCCCTAGATAGAAAGAAAAAAAAGATTTAGGGTAATTAATTTCTTCATTGCGAAATTGTCATCAATAATGTAGCAACATATTGGTTATTTTTTATATATTACTTGTCCATTTGGATTAGTATGAAACAAATTATTGTAAGTTGCCAATTTTGTGACTTGTCAGTAATTATATTCTATTCAATTTACCAAAGTTTTCTCATCTGTTATGCCATCACCTTTTTCCAAGTTTTTTCTCTTGCTAAATGCTAGTTCTTTTAGCGGTATTCAGAATGCATATGCAGGGAAGGATGGATATTGAAAGATTAAATTTATTTAGCAATTTATTTATTAAGTTTGTAAATTTTATGGGCTCTATTTTTTAAAAAAAATATGTCTAGGATATTTTAGATCTTTATATTAATTCGTTTTGCTTGTTTGGAGTAGTCTTGAAGTCCCTACGTTAATCCATCTTTATATTAATTCGTTTTGCTTGTTTAGAGTAGTCTTGAAGTCCCTACGTTAATTTCGATTAAAGTAGGGTATGCTGATGCTGATTTCTATACTGTTGAGACTTAATTCGCTATCTTTCTCACTATTATTCCTCGTCTCTTCCTTCCTCTAATCTCCATTTACCTTTCTCTGTCCACTATTCCTGTAGTTTCTCTCTCTTTTTCTTCCTTTCCTCCCATGGTTCCCTGTGATTTCTCTCAAATCTCTATTTTCTCTCTTTGCCCCACTTTCGCCCTGCCTAATCTATTCCTCTTTCTGTTCTGTATCACAAAGTATTGTAGGTATTATAATTTCCTTTAAGGGAGCTTTTCTCCTTTCTTTCTTAATAGAATTAACTTTTTTCTTGCAAAACATATTTAATTTACCTTTTCCCTGTGAGACTTATTGCTTCAGCTGCTTCCCTTGCATGATGCAGGAACTGGAAAAGTCAAAGCCAGTCATTTTGACAGGGGATCTAAATTGTGCACATGAAGAGATAGACATTTATGACCCTGCTGTAAGTCATTCAAAATTTTGATGTTTTTGGTAGAACTGATGATTTTATTTGACCAATGGCTTAACCAATATAAGCAAATTTATTTAATCAAAGAATTATTATGAGTGTTCTGCAAAGCAATATTTGATTAACAATCATTGCACGTGCTTTCTGTCTTGTCACTCTGGGACCAATGTTGATTACTAAGGTTGATATGTTACCTTCTTATCCATGGACGATGGACTTGTCTAAAAACTATGAATTACTTCTCGTTTCCTTAGTGTTACATTTAATTTAGAGTTCTTTATGCAAATACATTTGGAAATATCAAGGGTGAGACAAGCCATCTCTTACCCTTTAAAATTATAATGACTTTAGATCTGAGAGGTGAGCGATGCAATACAACAGAACTCTGTTTCAGTCTTTAAACAGCTTGATGTTGGTTTTTATGACATTCAATCACAGGAAAATAAGTTTGCTTAGCCTTGGTATTCTGCTCAATGCATCAGGAATTTGTGAAATATACAAAATGCAGCCTCGTCTATTACTCCATCATAATATTGCTGGTTTCCTGATGCAAATTAGTGCAGCAACTCTGTTTTCATTGAAATGTTGTAATAGTTGTTTCAAATTTTAAAATGTAGGGAAACAAAAGAAGTGCTGGGTTTACAATTGAAGAAAGGCAATCTTTTGATACAAACTTCTTATCCAGGGGGTTTGTGGACACCTTTAGAAAGCAGCATCCAGGTGTTGTGGGCTATAGTTACTGGGGTTATCGGCATGGTGCGCGCAAAACTAACAAAGGTGTGACATCCTACATTTTAAACTTACCCTCTTATTCTTTTTATCCTTCTTCATTGGTAAGATTAGTTTTGTGCCAATTTTTTTGAAGTATATGAGACCATTTCAAGTAGCCTTGACTTGAGGATACTTCCTGTACCTCAAAATGATTAATATTTATTTGTTTATTATGCTGGGAATGGTTGAATTTTGTTTTGACGTTGCTTCTAGAGATTAGTAAGATTTTTGAGGGGAGTTAATATAATAGTCACTGTGATTAGCTTCCATCATTAATAAATATTTAGCATATTTATTTTGGCAGTGCCCGCATATTTAGTTAAAATTTTGTTTTTTGGAACAGGGTGGAGGCTGGACTACTTCCTCGTTTCAGAAGCCATAGCTGATGATGTTCATGACTCGTACATTCTCCCTGATGTTATGGGTAGTGATCATTGCCCTATTGGCCTTATACTCAAGGTCTAGTCTAGTCTGCCTCAGCAAAACTGGATTAATTGGTGTGTGGATGGGATAAGTGCAACATTGTTGTCAACCTAAACCCAACTTGAAAGAAGTTTGAGGGTGTTGGGAGTTACAAAATGGAATTTCACTGATGCAGTTGCTGCTGTGCTACTGATGCAGCGGGAACCAATTACACCTTATGCCGTTGGCATTGCTTTTGCAGAAAATTGGAAGAGGGTGGAAACTCAAAAGGCATTTGAACGTTATGAGATTGTATTAAAATGTATGGCTTTTGGAGTTGGTACAATCTTGTTTTGCAAGCGTTTTTGGCTGCCCACTCTCATATGTAACGAACACTTGTGTGTGCAGTAATATTGATTATACTTATGAAACTTATGCTTCCCTGCGACATAAGTCTTGTTGCAATTGTTGTCCTTGATTTTCCCATTGACTTGATTTTGTTGTTGATGGTTTTGCCTGTGATTGAATTGAAGGGGACAAATATGCTGAATTCCTTTGCTAAAGCTTTTACGCTTTGGTGTGGGAGAAATGCAGAATCTTTTTCAATCGAATTTATCATATTACACATCATCTTGCCTATTTTATATGCATTGTGATTGAACCAAAACATGTTTTATTCTTTGGTTCATCCCAAATATTGTATAATCTAAAACTGTCTTGCAACAGGGAGGGCATGGGCATGAATAATCTTTCCATCCTTAGTTTAACTTAATACTGTGGATGCTTTTGCCACCCCTAAATTCCTCTGTACCATTGGAATCTATTATGGTCAGCTGGCTGTTCCAGGTTGACTTGGACTTTGAACAAAAGAAGACAATAAATAAACAGTAGAAAAATTAAGGTCGATGTTATAGAAATGATGTATCTAACAATCCCCGTGTTTATTCATTTCTGCAATTGCTTATGTGGAAAATTGTTACACGTAGGCATGAAAATTTGCTATCGTGGCAAGATCTCGTTGGTTCAGTGACGCCAAAAATGATACTCCAAAAGGCCAACCCACTCCGACTTTCCATGTAATGTATGCAACAAAGAATAGAGACACCGCAGCGAAAATTCAAAGGATTTGAGACAAACAAAACTTTGCAGAGAAACAGAGCAGCAGCCATGGCAGCTTGCAAGAGAGCTTCAGCAACGACAGCAACACCGACAGAAACAAAGCCGAATCCTCCTCAAACCCAAGAAACAACCACCCAAACCGACCCACCGATCGCGCCACCAAAGAAAGGCCTCATCTTTAACCTCTGTCTTTTCTTTTCAATTCCATATTTTTACCTTCTTTTCCAGCGATATACGATCGAGCAAGACCTCAAGAGATCCATCCTTATCAATGCTGCCCTTAGCGTTGTCGGCTTCTTCCTTACTCAGAGAATGATTCCTGTTGCTTCTAGATATGTTTTAAAACGCAGTTTATTTGGATTTGATATTAACAAGAAGGGTACCCCTCAAGGCACCGTTAAAGTGTAAGTTTAAAATTTTCTGTTTTTTGTTTTACGAAAAAACAAAGGGTTGTGATTGCTTTTGAATTTTGTTGAACTGGGTATGTTTTCATTTAGAATTCTGATTGGATTAGCTAATCGGGGATTGAATTTTTGTTTTCATAAACTGGGTATCTGGCAAGGTGATTATTCCTTTGGCACTTATGCATTGTTTAATAAATGTCTCTGCTTTGTCGTTTGACTTCCATTAAATAAATTAATGACTTGCCTATAAGTTAGATCCTCAATGTTGGCTTCTGGTTGTGTATCCGAGCCTTTATTCTATACTATCAAGTTTCTTTTTTTGAATTCTGTTAGTAGTGCTTTTAGATGCTGGTACTATTTGCCATCAGCTAAGAATCTTATACTTAAGTTGGAATTTTTTCCATTTATGAAAATTAACAAATATAATTTAAAAAAAAAACACTCTACTTAGTGACGGCGGCTTTTGGTTTTGCAGGCCTGAGTCATTGGGAATTGTTGTAGGTATTGTCTTCTTGGTTTTGGCTATCTTGTTTCAATATTTTAACTTCACGGCAGATTCAAATGTGAGTGTGATTTGTCCCAGAAGTTTCTAGCTGTGTTTTTGCTTTTTTATTTCTTTTTGAACTTTAAATTGTGTAACTCTATTTTTCAGTGTCAGAAATTAATAGTTTATGAAAATATTCAAAAACTAGGAATGATTGATAGCATTTTGAGGAAGTGAGTGCACGGTTTGACATATGGTTAATTACACATTTGAGTATTAAGTATGGAACTTGTATGAAACCATTGAAAATAGCAGCTTTCAAAAGGGCAAGGAGGTGAGAGAAGGAAAAACAAGAAAAAAATAGAAAATTGGGAATTTTCTTGGAATGTATAAGGGAAAAATAGTTATAGTAGGCATAAAAATAGGATAAAATAGAAATTTACACCTTTCTTCTTTTCACTAACTAAACTAGGTAATAGTTTTGTTCTCATTCTTACTTCTATTCCCATTCAAATTCCTGCTATATTCTTTCCATAAACCAAGCGTAAGATTGGCAAAAGGATGAGATAAAATTTCTAGAGAACACTTCTGGTTGGTCTTGAAGAGAAAAGGAGTACCGTAAGATATATCAATGTTATTTGAGATTTGCAGAATGAATGAATAGACTTAGAGGTAACCATATTACAATGTTGAAGTCATTCTAAAAGATGATTTAGCTTCTTTAATTCTTTCATCAAATGTTAAAGCCCTTAATTGAGTGGAATTGGGGGAAATTTTTTCGAGTAGCTGGCCTCAAATATTTTGGGATTAAGGCTTAGTTGAGTTGAGTATAGTATAGGGAACGTTGAACTTTGAGATAACTCCATTTTGTTTTGTTGGCTTCTAAGAAACTTTTGCTCTTTTGCTCTTTCTTATGTATATGTTACTTTTTCTACCTGCATTGCATGGTTCCGATCCTACATCTTTAAGACAATAAAGATTTTGGTTCTTGTATCATAATTTAGGGCAAGTCTGAATTGCATTAGCTTTGATGTTAGCTTCTTCATGGAGAGTTTAATGTTTTATAGAATTGAAGATCAATTTGTTGGTTATTGTTTATTCAGTGGCTCGTTGAGTACAATGCAGCCTTAGCATCTATCTGCTTCATGATTTTGCTTGGATTTGTAGATGATGTCCTGGATGTCCCTTGGAGAGTGTGAGTATAAATTTACCTTTAAGGTTTTGCATACTCTGTGGAAGCCTGTTAATTTTTTGGAAGGGTGTCCATGGCTTCTGCACTAATTTTTAACACGATCGTTATGTTGTTTTTATGAAGAGCAGGAAACTACTACTGCCATCAATTGCTGCTCTTCCATTGTTGATGGCCTATGCTGGGCACACAACTATCATCATTCCAAAGCCTCTTGTTTCATATGTCGGGCAAGAGGTGTTGGATCTAGGTATGAAATGATACTCAGAATTAATTTGGCAGTAAGAATAAGAACCTTTTCTAATGTCAGGATGGTGCTTGTTCCGTTTCTCTGGTTTTCTAATGTTATAGTGTTTCTCTCTTATATTGAGCACCAATCTAACTCTAATTATAATCTCAAATTTCTGGCCATTGGGCAGGTTTGGTCATCTTTGGTTCTAGTCATTTAGGATTTGGCCTTTTTTGGGTTATTTTGAGTTGAGGTTCCATTGACCTTTTGAGTGAATTCAGGCTGGTCAAGTTGGGTTTTGGGTGGATAGGTGGATCTTTGTTTAGGGTCAGCTTCAAGCTACATTTTTCCTCTAACAAGTAGCTAATAAAGTGCATTTTAGTTGGGGTGAGGTTCTAGCTCAGGTCTTTTTCTTTTATCATTGATTTTTCAACAAATTTGGTTGGTTTTTCAAGTTGCATTGGGTACTTGTTGTGGTTGGATCAGCTTTTGTTAAATGTACTTAAAGTAAATGGATACATATATTGGCATTTATTGTATGAAAGTAACACAGGAGGATTTTTGTTTAAACCATATGTTTGATCAAGTTCTGCAAGAAATTGCAAATGTAAGTTTGGTCAAGTTTTAAAATCTCTCAACTTTGGAGCTTTAATATGAATTAACTTTTAGATAGTGCTTACAGCATAATGAAAAGTGGCATCAGAACATTGTATCAAGTGTTCAACCTGTTGTTCAGTAAACGTACTTGTGTTGACATGCTAGCATGTCCTGAGCTTTAGTCAATGATTGTCCATATAATTGCAATAATTGAAATGATTATCCTCAGTGATGGAAATATTTGCCCTTTTCCCGAGCCTGATGAACATAATTGAACTAAGCCTGCAGAATTTTGTTTGCATCTGAGACAAATATTTGACTTGGTAACTTGTTAGAACCCATTGTTTATAGATTAGAAAACATGTAAATATTTTCAGGTATCCTTCATGCACCTTTTGGCACTTATGTTTTACAGTGTAAAGTAAGGCAACCATCAAGTTCTAAAGTTCATTATGCTTTTGCTCAATAATGAAAAAAATACTAAGATATGCTGATTGATGAGTTAAACCTTTACCCTGGGAGAATATAGAAGATAGTTGGGTGTGGACCTACATCTTAATGATGTACCTAGTTTGACTGAGCCATGCCAAGAAATCAATCAGCTTGGGTTGGTTTTAATGATGAGCTGAAATAAGGAAAAGGAGTTTGCTATTAAATAAAGTGTATGTTATCATACATACAAGCATACAGCATCTGTTTCTTTTTTTTATTGTACAGACAAATATACCATCTTTGAAGCCAGGACACTCCAAATTTCCTACCATATTAATGTTATATCTGTATGCTGATACCTTTTGGAGCACGTGTGAGGATATAAAGGAATGTGTTGAGATATGTCTTATATGTAGTCGGAGTTTACATGTAATCTTTTATGTGGGAAAAAACAGAGGGCCTATGTATTACTAAAATTTTGAAAAGTTGGGACTTCAAATGTGAGCATATATATTGTTATAGTTGTCATCTCTATTTTCTCTCTTTCTCTCTCAAGTTAGGATTTATCCTTATTGAACTGCTAAGCTTTATTCACCTTTCAAATTTTTATATTTCCTTTGTTTTTAAAGAACAAATGAATTTTTAAGTAGAGAACTAAGTCAGTGAGCTGTCTATCCTTGCATGGAACTCATAGTTGGTTTTGTTGTGGCAGGATGGGTGTATAAATTGTATATGGGGCTTTTGGCAGTATTCTGCACAAATTCCATCAACATTCATGCTGGTTTGAATGGCCTTGAAGTTGGGCAAACAGTTGTGATTGCATCAGCTGTAAGCATAAACAACTACAATATTTGGAATTTGACTTTTATGCAATCTAACTTCTTGTTGCAATTCACAGATTTTGATACATAATATAATGCAAATTGGCGCATCTTCAGATCCTGAGTACAAGCATGCTCATGCTTTTTCTATTTATCTTGTTCAACCCTTACTAGCCACCTCCTTGGCTTTACTTTCTTACAACTGGTAACAACCCTGCATTTTACCACCAGCTGTTCACAAATCCTACTTCGTGGATACGAAGTCTTACTAATAGCTTTTTGCTTCTGTTGTTTATAGGTATCCTTCTTCAGTTTTTGTTGGGGATACATACACATACTTTGCTGGAATGACCATGGCTGTAGTTGGGATTCTTGGACACTATAGGTGTGTGTTTGTCACACTGTTTCATTTGTCTCGCCTTTGGTTAGATAAGATGTACTTGTATACATACATCAATAGATACATATGCATGCATGTATGCATGTATGTATGTCTCTTTTAAGTTTTACATAATGCCATGGAAGTAAATACTGTGCCTTCTGACCAAACATGTGGGAGTTAACATGTCTTAGTGTTGTGATAAAAAAGGGTGATGTGGTCAAGTCAAAGAACATGGCAAGCCAACTTGAAGGCCATGTTTTAAGAAATATGCTGTCTTGCCCCTACTAATGGCATGTATGGTTTTAGATATAAATCCTAATCAAAACGAATTTGCTGATTTGACCTCTATCCTTTCCATTTGATTTTAACTCTTGGTGCTTATCTACTATGTAATTCAATACCGCTATTCAGGGATTAGAAGCAGGTACATCTGAGTGTCCTGCTCCAATCTTCTATTTTGATGAACTTTTGTGGCTTAATATCCATGATTTTCTGGACAAACTAAAAATTGATGCTTACCATCAGCGTGCTTTAATTTGGGAGGGGGGCTATGCTTATAAACTATTCAATATTGATTAAATTCTTTTTGGTTTTTCTCTTTCTATTTCTTGCTACAGCGAAACACTCTTGATTTTCTTTCTTCCTCAAGTGTTGAACTTTCTCTTGTCACTTCCTCAGGTTTGATCTGCTATTCTCTTTCTTTCTCTCTCTGTGACTATTTATAACTCGACTGAAGAATATGCAAAACAGCTAATTTGCATGTTCATACAATTTTTTTAGCTTTCTGGCTATGTGAAATGCCCACGACACCGTCTTCCAAGGTAATTCTTCGTACCTATATAAGACTAAGCTTGTTGCATGCATCAAAATTTTCTTTTATCTTTTAATCATTATCTTTTGTATCTTTAGATTCAATCCTGGGACTGGACTACTTACTGGGACACGTGATGGGACACTTGTTAACTTTTACTTGAGAATAGTTGGCCCGAAATCAGAAAAGTCACTCTGCATCCACCTTCTTTTTGTTCAGGTGATTTTCTCATGTTTGCATTCATTCTCTACTTGACCGACATTTTGTTTCTGTAATGTCAAAGTACCAGAGGAGTCAGGTTGTAGATGAACAACTTATGGCTGGCATTAAGGCTGTACCATCTTACATTGGCTAGACGTGGAAAGATTTGACAGGATTGTACCCAACCAAATAAATTTGGGTTCCCACAATCCTGACAATGAGTTTGTGTCATATTCCTGTTGCTCTCTGAAGATTGACCAGTTTAAACACGAATGCAGTTTGTAACTTATAGCTTGTGAAAAATAGTTCTAATTTTTCCTTTTTCAAGTTGAATATCTCCAGAGTGCCCTGCAGCATCCATTTGTTTGTTTCTGTCTCATTTATGTATGTTTGCTTCCCATAGGCCCTAGGATGCTGCTTCTGTTTCATGCTGAGGTACTTCCTCGCCGGATGGTACAAATAAGGTAGCAACATCAGAGAAAAGTGAAATAGTTTTGCTATACGGGTTTGTCATGTATAATACTTTAGCATCGGAACACGGGGAGTACGTCTTTCAGCGTAGACAAATGACCTGCAGTCTCGACAACATTGGGATGAATGCTGACAATAGTATTAATTACTTGCATCATTTTTCCTTATATATATCACTTGACAATTTACATTTTGGTGTGGGAGAGAAAGTTGGAGAACATTAGATCATAGGAAGCCAATGGCTCAAACTCCTTTTGCATTAGTTATTCGTAATTCATTAGGCTTTGTTGATGTACAACCTTGCCTTGCCTTGTTTAAAACTGTACATTGGTTGAGGTAATTTGAACCACATTTTTATTATTATTGTTATGTTGGTTGCAATTATTGAATTATTATTAGTAATTTTATCTTAAATTGATTGCAGCATTTTTCTATTTTAATATTCCGAAATAATGTGTACTTATATTTTTGTTTTGAACTTATTGTTCCTAGTATAAAAAAAAAAAAACCAAACTTTTCCCACTTCTTTTGTTGAGTTTTGCTAAGAGTACCTTAGGAACATTTTTTAGAGTTGCTATATTACATTATATTTTCTCTTAATGTATTAAAATTCGTCACATTTTAATTGTTAATTATTGTATTTAAAAAAAATAGTACTATACATGGTATATTTACTAAACCTAAAGTGTCTTCAGGGCAATCATTAGGAAAATGCTTTTTCATTTGACTTCTCCTTCTCTTTTAAGATTAGAAGGTTCTCAATGTCATGTGTATTTAATAATTAATTGAGTCATCAATTTTTATAAATATAGTTTAATAAGATAATTTTTTTATCTTCAAATTTTATTTGCAAAATTCAAAACTTTCTATTGATATGTACTTGTAGCAATCAAGATTGCTCTAACTATAAGGCAATTGAGGAATTCTGTACAATTTGAGTAGTCCTTTTAATTCACTAAATTAAAATCTTTCCCTGTATACTTAAAACATATGCTTTTAAGTAGAAAACTTATGGTTTTAAGGATATTCCAAGTATTAAAATTTGATATTTTTAATTTAAAAGTTTCATATTCAAATCTTAAAAGAATGAAATACAATATAGATGGTCAAATAATACAATTTGTCCTTATACTCTCTGTTGAAATGGTAAATTTAATCCATGTATAATAATTTATAAAAGTTAACAAAATCAATCCAATCATTAAAACGGTACCAAATTTTTTCCTTTATTTATATTAACACAGTATTTGACTTGCATTGATATAGCATTTTTTTTATTGATGTGGTAATGAATATGATGATTTGACATTCAAGAATGATGCAATAATTAATTTTATTGTGACATTGATCAAACATATGCATGGACTTTAAGTGATGTTGTGATGTTGATGTGCTACTACTATGTTGTTGAGACATTTTTGTAATTTACATACTGTATGCTAGTTTTTGATAGTGATTAAGAATTTAGAAATGGAAAACTACAAAAATGCTTTAAATGAAATAAAAATAAAAATAAAAAAGGCAACCATTATTTGTCTAGTAAAAAGTTTATATGATTTAGGGGCAAAGCTTACAAAATAAAAAAATAAAAAAAATAGAAGATTAGAATCTTATCAAGATAAGTCTTAATATTAACTTTTTCGTTGACAATCTCTAAATCTTTATGCTCAATCATTTGACTTATTGGGTACCTAGATCATTTCATGGGTTATAAATTTATTACTCAAGTGAAGGCGACAAAATTGTTGAGGCAGAAATAACAACATTTTTAAAGCTACATGTAGCTAATATTAGTTGCTCTCAAGATAGAGATTAGGGAAAGCATACTAAGATTATAAACATATCTATACCCATATTTTATGATACCATGGTAAATACACAAGTTGGGAAATAAGAATAAGGTTAAGCCATTCTTGAAGAGATTTCTCAACAACAAAATGTGGTAAAACAAGTGTCACAAAAAAATAAAAATCCACGAAAGTAAGGAAACTTGCTCTTTCTTTAGACATCTATGAATTCTACCTTGCGAAGGATTACGATATTAGTCATGTAATTGATTTAGTAAACTTTTCAAAAGCTACTTCCAGTCCTTAATCAGATCTAGTAATATCTATATCAAACAATTGTGGTTGTGAACTTGTTAAGCTACTTGAGTGTTGCAAATCAATTGGTTTTAAATGGGTGAACAAGACCAAATAAGGTTTCAAAAGAAACATTTAGAGGTTTAAAATCAAATTGGTTGTTAAAGTTTAATTTAGAGAAAAATAATTGATAATAATGGAACTTTTTTTCTTGTATTCTACAAGAATGCTTTTTAGAGTAATTATGCTACTATTAACTCATTATGATTTAGAGCGGCACAAAATGGATGTTAAGATTGTCTTCCTGAATGTGAATCTTGTTAGAAAGGTCTATATGTTGTAACTTAAGTATTTAAAGAGTATGGTTAAGATCAACTTTTGTGTAGACTCAAAGAGTATTTATGAGTTCAAACAAGCTTCTCGTCAGTAGTATCTTAAATTTGATGAATTGATAGTCTCTTTTGATTTTCTTAAAAACGAAGTAGACTGATGCATATTTCTAAAGACTATGGAACTTTAGAGAAAAATAATTGATAATAATGAAACTTTTTTTTCTGTACTCTACAAAATGCTTTTTAGAGTAATTATGGCATTAATAGCTCATTATGATTTAAGGCCATACAAAATGGATGTTAAGATTGTCTTCTTGAATGAGAATCTTGTTAGAGAGGTCTATATGTTGTAACTTAAGTATTTAAAGAGTATAGCTAAAATCATTTTTTGTGTAGACTCAAAGTGTATTTATGAGTTCAAATAAGCTTTTCGTCAGTAGTATCTTAAATTTGATGAATTGATAATTTCTTTTGATTTTGTTAAGAACAAAGTAAACTGTTGCATATTTCCAAAGATTGTGGAAGCAAGTTTATCTTTCACATCTTGTATGTTGGTAGTATCTTGGTTGCAAGTAGTAATTTATGCATGTTTCAAAAGACTAAGAAAATTATTATCTAAAGAGTTTGCCATTAAAGATCTTTGGAAAAACATCCTATGTCCTTGGGATTGAAATCCATAACGATAAATCTCTTCACTTGTTGGGACTCTTTCAATGTGCATAAATTGATCATATGTTAGATAGATTTTCTATGCATGTTTGCAAAAGTGGAGAGATCTTGATTTTTAAAGATGATAAAATGAACTTGGCACAATTTCTTGAAAATGCTGTTGAGGGGAAATTATGAAAACGTTGTCATATGCTAGTGCAATTAAGAGCTTGATGTATGCATAAGTGTGCGCGAGCCCTAACTTATTATTTACAATAGATCTATGTAGAAGATAATGATCTAATCCCAATAAAGATCATTATGAAGCTATAAAGAATGTAATGAGATATTTGAAGAGGATTAAGGATTACATGCTAATTTGTCAAAAGGTTAAAAAGCTTATGTTGGAAGGTTATACATTTTTATGTTGGCAAGTCTTTCGATGATCGAAAATCTGCATTAGGATGTTTTTTAATATGTTGACAAGTGGTGCAATATCTTGAAAAAGTATAAAGCAAAAGCTTTGACCTTATCCACTATGCAAGCAAAATTTGTAGCATGTTATGGAGTAGCTACATAAGTTGCTTGGTTGAGAAATCTCATTAAAAAATTATTGATGATTGACTTTATAATAATGTTGCAATAGTTATGTTCACTAATAACAATGGATATATCACAAGGGCTAAGTATATGGAGATAAAAATATTTGACAATTAGAAAATTTGTGAAAATATGTGACACTTCAGTAAAGCATATTACAACTGATAATATGATAGCCGATTCTCTCATCAAGGATTGTGCCCTGTCACTTTCAAGAAACATGGTTATGACATGGGTATAATGGAGTCTTTTAATGTAATTGGTTAGTGCGAAATTTTGACATTGTTTTATTTTTTGTGCTGAATTTTATTTGAACACATTATATATTTAGATTTATTATTAATAATCATTATCCAATGATATTCAATCATAAAGTATTTATGTATATATACATTTATGTGAAGACTTAAGACATGTGTTAGTTTTAAACATAAATTGAGGCATAAATTAATAGCCTTGGGTACGTCTCTAACACATAAATTGTATTTCGAGTTAGTTAAGAAGACTTCTAAGTTCATTAAATGAAGCATAAAGCATTTCTTGCATAAAGTAGAGAATAAAGTGACTAACAAATGAATACAAGACATAAAATAGGTCATAAGAAATTGTTGTTATTAATTGCAACATTACCACATTGACTTTATGTCAATAGGATCAAGTGATATATGTGTATATCACAAAATTTTATTAGACAGAGGGATCTTTCAGAGTAGTATTAAAGCTAGTTTGTTTTTAAATTGAGCTTATAAAATTTAAAGTTGTCTTAGCTTATAAGCTGTTTTTAAGAAAACGTGTTTTAAAAATTTGAAATTAAATAATATAATTCAAGTAGAATATTGTTAGATTTTCCTCAATAAATAAAATGTAGATTTACATTATTTAATTATTTTAGACTTTTATCAAAATCAAGCTAAATTAATTCGATCTTGATAAAGAGACAAAATTATATATTAGGGTAAAATATTTTGACTCTCTTAAGTTTTGACTATAATTTCACACTAGTTCATTAGTATTCGAAATGAATAATCTGCCCAAAACGTATAAATGACATTAACAGACAAACGTGAAATGTTTAGAATACCCTTATTCTTTCTCCACTTTTTTCCTTTCTCTCAAAACAACTAGTGGCATTCCCTTACATAGATTGGCCACCCCATGGTCGGATCTGGCACACCTCTGCTAGATATGACGATGCTGAATAGTGCTAACGAGTTTGAGGGAGCGCCAAATCCAACGTTCTTGTAACTAGATTTGGTAAGGGAACGTCTGATCCGATGTTCTCGCCACCAAATCCAATCGGAGAACTTCTGATCTACACTTGCCATGTTGTCCGCTGTCATCGTCCACGATGGAGAAAATTTAGTGAGAGAAGGAAAGAGAAAGCTTAAGTAAAGAGACAAAGAAATTGTATTTTATATAGTGGTAATTTTTAAAATTAATGAAGGTTAAAATCCTAAAAATATTGCTACATCCTCAAAGTAATTGAAATATATGATAGTTGACTAATGACAGGACTTATATGTCTAGCAAAAGATATTCTTTTGGAGTAGA